GCATTTCAGTGAAATTTGTGATGACACGACTGATGTGTTATGGGATTCTATCATAAATGAGCTACTACAGCATGACTATTTTATGAATATGATGAGCATTTTTAAACAACTTCTATAGTTCATTAGCAAAACTGATTAATAACATCGCAAGACTACTATGACATGATAGAAATTTAGTAATTCTTCCAAAGGATATGTATTACTAGTATGATTCATTCAACTCCCTAAGCAACAGTCATTCTTAATTTATATTATCCATCTGCCCACTCTCCTATTAAAAACTAAATATTTACACAAAAAACTTTCAGTTCCTATAGACATGACTGCCAACAATGACTTAAAATGGGACAATGTAATGTTCTCAGCAGGGACAGAAGGTGCCATATATGCCGAAAACACAAAATAGATAGGCTGCATTTTTTTCAGTCATTTTTGCACAAATTTATAATGTGTGCAATGTGAAAGATAAAACAAAAGTAAACAATCAAGACCAAAAATATTACTACAGTATATATCACACCTTATACAGTTATAAAAAACAATTGAAACAAAAAATCAATACAGAAAAAAGTGGGAGTGACGCATGCTCTCATCTGCACCCAGCTGCTTAGCCAGAATGCCCTTTTGCCAGCCTTGCATACAACCATATTTTTGAGAGCCATTTAGAGCCCAGATTTAAGCCCAAAGAAATTCTAATTTTCTTACATGCTGGCCCATCACTTTCTCTCAACAGTGAAAAAGTTGTCAAAAATTCCTGGGTTTTAGGATAGGAACATCATCATCATCATCATAAATGCCTCTTTTTATTCTTATTTGTATTTCTATCACCATTTGTCACTAACGCTATACACTTATTATTGTGGTCAATGTATTTCCTCAACACAGTCACAGCTGTGTCTAGTTTCACCCTATGTTGTTGTTTTTTAATTATTATTTTTTGGCCAAATATGCATCTCCGGCTGAATTCAAGGAAATATTAAGATCTGTCACATTGTTGCTTCTAAGGAAGCATTCTGTTTGAAGGGTTGCATGGAAATCATTAACTCACAGAATGCTAGAATTGGAAGGGACCTCAAGAGGTTATCAAGTCCAGTCCCCTGTCCTTATGGCAGGACAAAGCACCATCTAGAATCTAGATTATCCCTAACAGATGACTGTCTAACCTGCTCTTAAATATCTCCAATGCTGGAGATTCTACAACCTCCATACACAATTTAGTCCAGTGATTAATCACCCTGGGTACGTCTACATTGGCCCCCTAGATTGATCTAAGGGATTTAAAGCCCTAACTCGAATTAGCTGGTATTCCTCCTGCAATGAGGTTTACCAGCTAATTTGAATTAGGGACTTTAAATCGGAATCCCCTTTCACTGCCGTGTGTAGACGTGGGCAGTTACTTCGGGCTAGTCAATTTCTAAGATGGCGACCGGCCGGGAACGTGCAAATCAAGCGTGGGATATTTAAATCCCGGGCTTGGTTTGCAATTCTGGTCGCCCTCATTAGCCTCCCTAGATTGATCTAGGGGGCTAGTGCAGACGTACCCCCTGACAAGAACTTTTTCCTAATCTCGAACCTAAACCTCTCTTGCTGTAATTTTAGCCCATTGCTTCTTGTCCTATTATCAGATGTTAAGGAGAATAATTTTTCTCCATTCTCCTTGTAACACCCTTTTAGGTACTACAGTAAACTTCCGATAATCCGACACCTTTAGGACCTAGGGGGTGCCGGATTATCAAATATGCTGGACTATCAGAAGGGGGGGCTATGAGGGGT